CAACTGGGCTTCGGGCGGGCTGCTTGTTTAAAATAAAGAGCTCTGCGGAGAACTCTCACTGCTGAGAACCACTTTTAAGCAGTCACCGTCACTTCTGCAGTGTCCTGACAAATGTAATTGGACAGATGGGTGTGCTGGATTGGCACTCTAAGTGTCTTTGCGCTGAGAATAGTATCAATAGCTATTAATAACTTTGAAAGGCTCTCCAGATAAATTAGTGAGTAGCGACCTTATAGCTAACGAGTATGTGTGTTGTTCAGCTGAAAACTTGCATGGATTTTTTAAAATTATTTTCGTAAATCAAATGTGAATGCATGGAATTTCAAATTCATGTATTTCAGTTAATTTCTTTTAAAGCTGGTATTAAATGCAGAGGTAGTCGTCATTGCACCAGTTCAGGATTTCTCCTGATAAATGTCTGATGCATATTTTTGCTCATTCTTTAAAATTCACTTCTTGATAAAAAAAAATAAAAAAAAAAAAAAAGATTGTAGGCTCGGTAATAAACCGAGAATATAACCATCTAAACTCCTGCCTATTGGCAAGGAAATGCTGAATCACCTATACCAGAAGCATTTGCATATAAAAACACAGTGAGCTTCAAAGAAGTTTCTAATGATTTTCATTCTAGATCACTATCAGTGCAGTCTTACGTATTGAAGATCATCATCTTTTTGCCTTCCATATTTTAACAGAGCTTCATTGTGTCCTCTTTGGACGTTACCAAGGATATTTATTCCTTTTTACTGGTTCTACTCTTCCCTTTGCACCGGAGGAAGAAATTGGAGCACTTCCTGGATATATTTCCCATTAATTGCCCCACATAATTAAAAAATTAAATCCTGCAAGATTAGGTGCCTTGGGGCAATTCCAAATTGATATGTTCTGCTTCTTGTCTGGCTTTGCAATGTGAGACTCAAAAATGTAGATACACAAAACGACAGGCAGATCTTGTGTGTGCAAAGATTTCATGTTCTTGCCTTACATAACGTGTTCCTGCTGGGACTCTGCCACTGAAAGACACCTTAATTTACTTTGAATTCGCCTTACAATTGGGTGCTGCTTTACATGTGTGGTCCAAAACATGTGCCACCTTCCAAAACAGCACTGTACTGCAGGCTGTGCCATGACAACAATCATTTGGTGAGCGAATTAGAATCTGGGTCTTAGGCTTTGAAAGACAAACGCATTAATCCCCTGCAAGATTCAGGCACTCTCTGTCAATTCTAATCAGGTGAAGGCACTGGGCGTTTTGCTTCAAAGCATTGGAGGGATTCTTTTAATTCAGGGAGATGGCCTTTTTATTTCATGCTTATTTTCATTTTCAGGTAATGATGCACTGATGGTATATAAAATAATGCAGGGTTTAATACACTTACACGTCCCCTACAGCTATCGCAGTTCTCTTGTTGTCTGCAGAACCATTTGTGGCCATCAGCACAAGTGAATAATAGTACACAAAATTCCACTGTTTTTGTGAAAACAAGTTTGCTGTTTGTTTTTTTGTTTTGTTTTGTTTTAGTTATTTTTTTGAGTTGCTTGGAGGGCTTGTCACTTAATTGGTTGCCTTAATTTGTCTTGGTTTGAAAGAGTTGCTCGCTTACCTGAAAAGCAAATTGGAACAAGGGTGTATGTGTAACCGTGTGTTTTCTGTGTGGAACTGCAGGCTTACCCCGTAACTGGCAGTAAGTCATTTTTGTAATACCCTCTGTGCAACAGGAATGATGTACCGAACTGATCTAAAACTTAGCAAGTTACTTTGTATTGTCCAGGCAGGATCTCATAATAAACGATTTGTGTGTGTGTGTGCATTTTTTTTCCCAAATCTCGCAGCCTCTAGGATAAATACTTCCACGTTTTCTGATTTCACAGTATTAGCAAAAGGTAATCAGATGCATGGTCTCCTAAATACCCTTAAAAAAAATATGATGCTTCTGTTTTGATTGATCAGGTTACACTCCAGAACTGAATTCAGAGGGAATGCTCAAGCCTACGGTAGTCATACGGGTGTTTCATGTTCAAAATGTTATAATTATCCCTGCTAGTTATTACAGTCACCAAAATGCCAGTCAGGTGGATTCCCTGGGCCGGGAGGTGTGCAGTCCGTATCAGTGAGCTGTGCTTTCCATGCAGGTACATTGAGGAGGCTAGTGCCTGAGCTGTAGTGGGTCACGGGCCAGAAACCCTGCACAGAGGGAAGGGAACAGCCTGAAACTACCACACAGGTACAGAAGTGTAGCGTCAGCTGTTCTGATGGTGAGAGAGAGAACTAAATATTTCTTTTGGCATTCTCCAGGAAAACAGGTGAAATAACTGCTGACAGTTCTGATGAAGCACCAGGAGAAGCCCATTTGCAAGAGAGCTTTCATTTAAAATAAATAAATAAATAAATAAAATAAAATAAAAATTGTTCCCTTCTCTGTCCTTTCACCTATAAGTGAAATCTTTGTCTCCTGACACACAAAGACATCTGAAATAGGTCACGCTTTCCTGTTTTCAGCAGTGGATGTTAATATTAATCTCTTGGGTAGAATTTTAATCTCCTTCCAGTTTCACGTCTCTCGTATTGTTGATTTAGCAGTCAGGACCCCACAAAGCACTATACTAGAAAATAGAAGCCGGGTTCATGACTGTGTCCCTACCTTTTCATATTGCTTACGCAGTGCAAAGAGGCCAGGAAGGCAACCAGTCCTCTTGCTTTCCTTGCCCTTAACACCTTGTGCACTGCAGTGTCTGAAACGAGATGCAGGTCTGATTAAAGCATGTCATGTGTTGGCTTTTGCCAGAGCTGCCTCTTAATTAAGAAGTGACGCCTTTGTTCTTGCTCGGCAGAGATGAATCTCTGTCCACTGTTTTACACCGAGTGGAAGACAAGGATCTCTTTCTTTGCTTTTGTCTTTTAAGTGGTGCTACCTGTTATTTTTAAGTTCAGATTTGTTGAGCGATTGGCCAAGCAAGTGGAAACAGAAGCATAAGGGAGAGGACTGTGCGCTAATTGCAGTGCAGCAGTGCGATTTCCATTTCGGTGCGTAGTAGTCCGTGAGCTCTGGAAAATGGGGCAGCTCTTCTGTGGCTCAGTACTCTGTGCTGTGCTGTACAGCAGTTGTCCTCATGTTTTATGCACAGTGTGTTATACTGTAATGGAAGTATCTGTCTCGGGGACCTGCTGAAGAGTAAAAGGTGACTTTTCTCATTTCCTTCAGTTCTGTTTCACTGCCTGCGTTTCCACAGCCAGGTTTCCACACGTGAGGACACAGCCTCTCTCTTGTTTTTTTTGCTTCTGCTGTTAAGTCATAATGGAAGCAGCTAGACTGTTTTTTATTTCTTTTCCACTTCTTCTTAGGCCTGATGGCATCTTGTTTGCAGGTTAAGTATTGTAAAATCAACAGGAAGCAAGATGAGTCAGTGTCAGGCAGGCTGTCTTTCTGTAGAACGCAGGATGTGAGATTTATTAGAAATATGGGAGGTCTCGTGAAATCTGCTTCTAAAATAAGGTTCTAAATTCACAGTCTTAACAGCAACCAGGGCAATGAGAAAGAGGTAGGGAAGGAGGAATGGCAGTGCTGTTCTGTGCTTACCTCATGGCAAACCTCATGGATCACCTCATGCCCCTGCCCCCCCCCCCCCGTGGGGTCCCTCCCACGGGATGCCGTCCTTCCCCAACTGAGCCTGCGGGGGCTGCCCACAGGCAGCAGCTCCTCAAGCACTGCTCCCACACGGCTCCGTCCCACAGGGTCCATCCCCCAGGAGCAAACTGCTCCAGCACGGGGCCCCCACGGGTGGGGGCAGCTCCCCCCAGACCCCCTGCTCCTGCGTGGGCTCCTCTCCACGGGCTGCAGCTCCGGCCCGGGGCCTGCTCCTGCGGGGGCTCTCCATGGGCCGCAGGCTCCTCCAGGCCACATCCACCTGCTCCCCCGGGGGCTCCTCCACCCATGGGGGGGCTGCAGCGTGGAGATCTGCTCCATGTGGGACCCATGGGCTGCAGGGGGACAGCCTGCTCCACCAGGGGCCTCTCCCTGCACAGGCTGCAGGGAAACTGCTGCTGCCTGCCTGCAGCACCTCCTGCCCTCCTGCTGCACTCACCTGGGGGGCTGCAGGCTTGCTAGTTATGGAATAGCTACTTTAATCTCAAGTTATAGCAATAGGTAAAGCCTTCATACTATGGGCAAAATGATACACTGAGTAAGGAAATGTCTCTATAATCTTCCATCCTTCCAGTGTAGCAGAACCATCTAATACTATGTGTCACTGGTTCCTCAGGCAAGGAGTGCTTTCTTGTTATAGATCCAGGACTTAATACAGCAAATTCTGGGCTCTAGAGTATGTGTAACTGTAGATCCAATGAGTGACTTGAGAAGACTGTCTTTAAAAAAAAAAAAAAAAAAAAAAAAAGATGCTGGGACCATCCCTCTGAACTGTTTTATCTCATATTTTTTCATTAACGTCGCTACTGTTTTGTCTGAAACACATCAGACTGACATACATCAAATAGCATAGGTGTTTGGCATCATACAGCTGGTATAAAACTATTGGAGGCTTTTTAATGCCTAGTTTTAAATTAACAAAAGCCTTTAATTTTATAAGTATTTTGCCAAATCTGTTTCTTCCATTTGTAGTGGTGTTGAATATTTGGTTATGTTGCTGCTGCAGTCTCTGACTGTTGCAAGCAAAATGGTTTTTGGGGGTATGACTGGGTTGGGCTGAGTGTGGGCTCACTTGATTCAGTTTTTTTATTGTATTGGATTGTAGAATTGGACAGTAGAGCTTGCTTGACATAGTGAATCTCTCTGTGAGGTAATGTGATTTTTTTTTTCTTTTTAATTATTTTTCCTTAACTTCTTAGAAAGAATGAGCATGTTGTGTTTTTATGGAGCTGATATGAATAGCTGATGCAGCTATTCTGGGAGAAAATAATATTTAACAAATGGAGTGCCTAAAATGATGATGAAATTTATTTTGTTCAGACTTCTGACTCCTTCTGTTTGCTTCACCCTCCCCAGACAAGCGTGTTGATGATTGGCCCTTGATGCAGTCTCCATTTCCAACACTGACTATAAGCACTATTTATCTCCTCACTGTTTGGCTGGGCCCCAAATGGATGAAGACAAGAGAGCCCTTCCAGTTACGTTTCCTGTTGGTTGTTTACAACTTTGGAATGGTTCTACTCAACTTCTTCATTTTCAAAGAGGTGTGTATGCACTCTCACAGGAGGGAATTCCTATTACAGTCTGCGTGCCTGTAGATTGCAAGGGAAAAATAATCTTGTGTGTTTATGGTGTCTGTTGAAGAAGATTTGGCCCAGATTTTTGAAACTGGATTTGCCTCTGACATGAATATTTCTTTAGTTAGGCATAATGTGTTTGTGAATAAATGTACTGGATGGGTGTATGTAAAGAACTTGTACACTGTCTAGTCCAGGATAGTATTTATTTAGATTTATATTACTATAAGTACCAGAGAGACTAGCTGAAATCCATAGGGATTTAACATTTATAACTATTTTTTGTCAGTTCTTTTTAATAATCTTAAAAAGTGTCAGACTTTTATTAGAAATCACACTTTCAGTTGGTTTCTTGAATGTGTTAATCACTTTTAAAAACTCAAATGTATATCGTATTGAAGAAAAGTATCTTGTTTGTAAATTAGATTTTTTAGAATAAAAATAAAATGAATTGTATCTTTATATAAAAATAAAAGTATTGAGTCTTCTAACATTTTGTTTGCAGAGTTCTGAATATGTTACTTCTAATAAAGTTCAGTGTGCTGCATTTTTCCTTTTGTTAGATATTCTGTACAGCAGAAGTGGTTAGTAACAATGCAGTGGAAACTTCTCTTCAGCAGAAGCGAAGTGGGATTACTTTAACAGCTTGGAAAACATTATTCTGGGATAGTTGTTCAAAATGTAGCTGATCATAAGGAGTAGTTTATGTTACTGTGACTTTGCTCACATGGGTTTCTTCCTGGAAGGCCTCTGATCATGAATTTGCAAGATTCGTTTCCAGGAGTAAGCAAACAGATAACACAGTTTAAATTACAGCATCGCAAAACTCTTTTCTGGGTGGTCTATGCTGTATTTTGCTGGAAAAGTGGAAATCTTCTGTATATTGACCCTGCCCAGAGCTATAATAAAATCACTAAGTGGTTTCACACAGTTTTTAAGACATGGTTCAGTAAAACTAATCCTAGCTACCACACCTTAATCATCATTTTCTCCAAGTTGTCTCCTTGCGCTAAGCAACTAAGGAATAAAATGCTAGAGATAAAACAATTTAATGCCTACACCCAAGGATAATTATGGAAATGGATAAAATCTTGGCAGATTAAAATTGAAATTCCTCTGAAAAGAGTTTGCACTGGTTTTGCCATTTTTGTCTTTTTTGTTTGTTTGTTTGTTTGTTTTAATTTAAATCAGTATGCATTATCTATAAGTTGAATTACACCAGGCTTGTGGTCAGTTTGTGTGCATACCTCTGTTGGATAATACATGCATTTGCATAGCATTTCCAAACTACTGAGTTCTCATTAAAAAAAAAAAAATGGGTTTGAATGTGTTTACTGCTGATAATCTGAAAGCTCCTAATTTTAGGTACAGGCAGGTTCTAATTTCCTGGTATCCTATCCAAGGGATTTTGAGCCAGACTACTGATATGACACTTGTAATAGAAGTTGACTTGTCTCCTTCTCTTCTCAAGACAGATGAAACTTTTCAATTGTTGTCTTTAAGCCAGGGAAATTCTACTTCAGTCTGTATGAGGTTTACAGTACCCGTGTGCCACTGTTGTAATTCCCATGAGTAACGTGATTGGTATGAGTAAAATGATACCCTGTTTGGTTTTTGTGCATGGCTAGAATTTCCAGGTATTGCTGAGAACAGAATTTGGATGCATTTGAAATGCTTTTGATAAGATCCATAGATCTTGTTTTAAATTTACATGATATTTAAATATTCATCCTGATTGCAAACTGCATTGGGTCATCTTCAATAACATGCATTAAAACTTAAAAAACAACAACAAGAAGATGCATAAAGCACTGCCAGGTTGTTTAGCCCAAGATGCTCACAGATTGGACTCAACTTCAGATTAGGAACAAACTTCTCTCAGAACCTGCAGAAGTCCCAGATGCCTATAGCCCCCTTTTTGCCACAAAATCTTGTATTTATTCATTTTGAAGGAGTAGCTTCAGCCCGAAGTCAATTTATTGTCTTTGCCAAGCAAAATCCTTGGTGAAATTACCTGGTAGACTGCAGCAGAAACCTATTAGTTTCTGTGTTAGTTTCAAGTTCAGTCAAAATGAGATGGAAGTCAGGTTAGGGATAAGAATAGTCAGTGGCTGCCCATGTTTATTTTGGAAATCTTCTTGTGTCACCCTCCTTTAGTTTTACAGTTCCCAGTTTTCGAGTTACGCCTGCTCCGCTGCTATCTTTTTGATCCTTAACAGGGTGGGTTACCCAGCTTTAAACAAACTTGGATCACAACATTTATGAACGTCAAGATTTAAAGTACTACCTGAGCCTTGTACAGCTGTAGGCATGTGTTCTTTTTTTCCAATGGGAGCTTGCTTAAATGTCAAGTTTATCTTCTCCTATTCAGGTTTTTGCACCACACCTTGTTTGGAGCGTCCCTACAGGAGCACGTGGTGTGCTTTAGGCCATTCCTGTTGGCACAAACTGGGGCTCTTCTCTTAATGCAGTGTCTCAGTATGTTTTGTGGGTGCTCAGCATTGTTTGTTCAGCTTTTCTGGTTATATTTTTTTTTTCCTTTATGGATTTTGATAGATACATTGTTCTAAGAACAGTAGATCCAAATTATCTAATCCCTGTCTATTGGAGTGAATTCTTTCTACTCTAATACATCATGGCTTTTGCATCTCTGTCATTCATAGTGAAAGCCATTAGGTATTTTCTGCCTCTGAATCTAGAGCCCTCTAAGGGAGGATTCATGTTTGAATAGCTTAAGGTCATGTTGGAAATCTTACTAATTTGTACAGGGCTCTAATTATCTGGTCAAAGGTATGCAAGGAAAAATGAGTACTCTCTTTAATATACAAGAAAACGGGCACTGTGTTAACAGGCTGATAAAACTAAATATTGGCTTTCTTCAGTAGTATTCTCAGGACTAATAAGGACACTTAAGTATTTCTGTTCGGGTAAGTTTGAAGTAGCGAGAAACTTGCTGACAACTGCTTTGAATAAGAAGTTTATATAGTACCTTTCCCCTCACATGTGACTTTAATATTTTCAGCTGTTTTTGTCATCACGAGCTCGAGGATACAGCTATGTCTGCCAGACTGTGGATTATTCAGATAATGTATATGAAGTTAGGGTGAGTATTTATCTCTTTTTTTTTTTTTTTTTTGTATTTGTGGATGTGTGGATGTAATATGTAACACTACGTGATGTTTAAAGTCTTGTCTGAAAACAGTGTTCCCAAAGCTGTGCTGTCTGCCGTGACAGCATCCCGTTATATTCTCTCAGACCGCTTCAGGCTTGACTGCTTTGCACATAGCAGAGTTAATCACAGCGCGTCAGCATATCTGCACTAACTTTCATTTGACTGCTACAAATGAGGAGAGTCTTGAAGATACCATCCTTGACTTCATCCATGGCTGTATGATCCAGGATAAGCTTTATACACATACTTAGATAGCAAGCCTGTGCTGCCGTTTATGATAGAGCGTAACCGCAGTGAAGGTGTAGTTCTAGATCAAAGCCAGCCAGATTTGTCAGCAGGTACTGAAGCTGCACTTCATTCACACTGGTGAGGCAACTTCTTGTATCCTTTACTCATTTGGCTTCATGAACTCTTGCTGGCTCCTGGCAAATGTATTATCAGTATACTTCATTGCAGAAGCTTGGATTTCAAATGTGTGTTTTTTGGAAAGCATTCAAGTTAAAATCAAAGTGCAGATGCTTGTTAACTTCTGTAATGTTGACTAGCTCGTGTGCTAAACCTTATCTTCCGGCAGAGCTGACACTTGAGAATCTTGCAGCTGTCCTTGCAAGTTTCATCCTCGACAGATTAGGACACGTTCCTGAAAATGCAATGAAAGCATGTTATGGTCTAAATACATCAAATGTTAATAATGGGTTTTGAAAAATACTTCTCAACAAAGGGGCTGTTCACAGGTACTCAAACGCCTGTGCAAGTGTCAGGGTTGGTAGTGAGAAGAGCAGGTTTGATTTTTACAACTTCTGTATGATGGATGATACTGCTGAACAGCTCTGTAGGTTTTTATTGACCCAGTGGTAGTCACTTGTCTTTCTTCTTTGCCAATACTGCGCACCTACCATGTCATTCACTAGAATACCTCTGTTAATGATTTTTTTAAAAACAAAAATTATTAAAGTATAACAGTGCTTGATAGGTTGTGGGATTTTTGTAGCCTTTTTTTTTTTTTTACTGGAAAAAATAGGTTGCTCTATTGATATATGTTCTTTGTGCTTCCCGGCTTTTCCAGATTTTGCAAACTTATGGATCTGAATAATCTTTATTTCTAAAGTTCTGCCTTGTAACACTCAATTTGCAACAGATAGGAAAAACAGCTGGGAAAAACAGCTGGGAAAGCAGGGAAAATTGAGTTCTCTCAAGTGTTGCAGTAATTGTTCAGTACGTTGTCATTCAAGACCCATATCTTGATCATTATTATCTGGTAGCTCTGAGTAAATTCTCACTTCAGAAAAATAGGAGAACTACAAGTGTACTTTGAGGAGTCTAGGATAAGTTTTGGGTCTGCTTTACAGTGTATCATGCTTTGCATTTAGATGGTATGGTGTTGCTTGTCATACATTGTCAGCAAACAAAAAATCAAGATACCTTTTGCAATATTTTTTTCTTAATATAAACCTGCAAAAGTAATTTTCAAATATCAAAGTGTGGGCAACTTCCTGCAGTTTCAAGTTTACAACTGATAAACCTTGTATCACATCCCTCAATACCGTTTTAATAGAGACAGATACTAAATGTCTAGTACTTATTGGCAGCAGGGTTTCTCAGAAGGGGAATGCTGCAATAACAGATTTACAGATGCAGTCACTTTATTTGGTAGAAAGTGAGTAAAAGGGCCCTGTATTAGTCAGATAAAGAAAATTGTAAACAGCACTGAGCCCAGAAAGCATTGTAGAGAATGATCTGGAGAGCAGCAGCTTCATACATAGTTTCATTGCAGGGGTTGGAAAGCTGTAGCAAATACTGAAAATTGTAAAAACTAATCACATACGGTGATCTGAATGGAAATTTAGAAGTCTTGGCATGACCTCCATTTGTATCTTTTCCTGTTATGCAGAAACTGCCACTACAAATTTCCCATGTAATGGCCCCATTTGACCAAAGGTCGTGCTCGAAATGAGGGGCCATCCTTTTTTCCTGAAGGCAGTACGAAGATGTGGTGAACAGTCCCATAGCAAAGGCTTGGCTATCCTGGGTGACAGTGAGTCTTTCCTTTCCAACCCATATCTTGTCTCAGGACCTTAGCCAAATGATTTCAAGGGAGCAGTGTAAGACTGGGCACGTGGTGGCACTGCCCTTGTATAGTGCAACCCCAGCAATCTGCAGCTCTCAGATCTCTTGAGTTGGAGACGGCCTCCTTGTTGTGCTGGATCTAAAGGGGACATCCTTCCAGGAGTTCAGCTGTATGTTTTCAACTCTATCAAGCTTCTGGCATTCACCGACGGTTAATAAATACACAGTAATACAAAATAATATAGGTGCAGAGATGAGGTTTAAATCCATGCTTTGGAGTACTCCTTTGGAAGCTCCAGTATTTAGGGTGAACACTTTCCCACTGTTGTCTAAATTAAGACATGTTAGCATCCGTAAATAGTCACTTTCACATCTGCTTGTCTGTGTGTTCTTGTTTCCCAGAACGAGGTTCATCTATTTGGTTAGCATTTCTGGAGAGCTGAGAATTAGGAGTTGGGGTGAACTAGTTCCTAGTTTTAAGCATACCAGTTGTAATTGCTAAGCTGAGCTGTGGTTGTAATTGTGCTCTGCTTTTACTCGCATTGTTTGTATGTATGTCTGTAGCTTGAATAGTTTCCTCAAGTGAAATAATAACAACTTACTATGAAAATAACAAATTTCTATGAAAAGGGAACTTGACTTAATAAAATAGTCATTTCCTATAAACAAAATTCTGTAAGTGAAGTGGGAGGGGGAAAGTGAGTTCTTTAAAAATAAACTAACAAGTTTTCATGTTATTGTTAACTGCTAAAAATCACCTGTCTCTTCAAACTCCTTAATGGGTAACCATCTCCAACCTCAAATGAGGAAGGATGGTGCAGGAACAGAGCCCCGTGTTAAAACAGCTCTCTGCTTAAAAACCCTGCAGCAGGCAGAGGTCATGGGATTGGACCTCTTGTTGACCCCCTTAATCCTAGGCTGTAATGTAATCTTTCTGTGCCATCTGGTGTTTTAACAGACTTAGGCTGATGGACATGAAAACTGCCAGAAATGGTATGGTCATGACCAGAATTATTCATTTCAGGAATTCACCTGTTTTAATGCATATTTTCTTTTAAGTTGCATCTTTCTTTCATGCTGTGTCCAAAGAGAGACCATGGGTTAGGTCGGAACTTCTGATGCTTTAATGGGGAAGTTTGTGTATTGTTCTGCTGTCTTTCTGCCCCATCACTGACTGCATGCATGGCTTGGGGCAAAGCACATAATATCTGCTTCAATTTTTTTCTGCATCTGTAAGCTAATGATCAAAATGCCTGCGTAAGTCATTGGGAGCTCTGAGGTAGTTCAGTACCTGAAGTCCGTCAGTCGTGAGAGTGAAGGGCAGTGAAGCTTCAAGATAGGAGGAGGAAGGCAAAAGAGCTTTTAGGCCAAAAATCTATACAAACACAAAAATTGGCAGGTATAATCCTGAAAGGGAAAAAAAAAAAAAAAAAAAAGGAGAGAGAGAAAAAGGAGGCTATTTTTATTCTTAAGTGATGGGAAGCATTTTGATAAAAAGTTCGGTTGATTTTGATCCCTGGGTTCTAATTGTTTCTTTCTGCAAGGCAGGTAGAACTCAAAAGAGGAGGAATAAAGTGCATTAAATGACTTCCCAGAAGTGTGCAGTGAACCTGTGGCATCCTGGGCATGAAATCTAAGTGTTCTGTTGGATTTTTCTCCACTTGTGTGTTGCTCTGTTGTATCATAAATTTGCAAGTACAGCTTGTTATTCCACTGTTCCTTTAACAAAATACACAGCAGCTTGGTTAGAGCTCTTCTGGCAGTTTGCTTGTGGCAGCCCTATTGATCCTTTGCAAGTTTCTCGGCAGGCAGGGGGCCTCCAGAGAACCTGAGCTTGTCATTTTATGGGCACGGTCCAAAGTCTCTGCTGTCAACTGATGAGATGAAGAGATGCTTATCTTAATTTATTTAAAAGATGCAGCTTTAGCAAAGATCTGTGCAAGATGCCGAGCTGTTATGCTAATCCATGGGTGTGAGACGAAGCCTTGGTGTGGGTGTTGGGCGCAGGGCTCCCTCTCCCAGGAGCAGAGCTGTGCTGGATGTTGGGCAACTTCTGCACCAACAGCTCCTGCGGCTTGCACCGCGTGGCTGTGAGCTCCGAGGTCCGTGGGGGTCCCTTCTCTTTCGTCGGGCACCTCTCCAACTTTGGCAGATATTCAATATAAATTTATTTTTTAATATAAAACTGACAACATCAGCCTCTTCTTCCTGAGATGCGAAGTCGGCTACGTTATGTCTATTGAGTAATGGATACACAGGAGGCTGCAGTTTGGCATCGGTAAGCTGTGCAGTCCCTTTGGGAAACCGCAGAGTCTGCAATGCAGAGCTGCAGCACTCCACTGCTCCTGTGCTGCTGGTTCTATTTATTTATTTATTTATTTATTTATTTCTTCTACTGTAATCCCTGTTTAAAACTTCCACCCGTCCAGTTACGGCTGTGACAAGCTTCGTCCAAGGAGAGACGTGTTCCTTTCCAGCTGTTTTGGAGATACGGAGGGAGACTCCACGCAGGGCTGTAGCATTGCTCTGTACTGCTTGGTCTCCTGATGCCCCTTCCTCTCGCTCACCCATACCCATAAATCTCACAGTACATGGGTATTTGGGAAGGGAAGCTGCTGCTCTCTTAATTTTCCTCTTCTGTCTTCCGGGGACCATGGGGGTGGTAGAGTTACTTCACATAATGTTAAGGTAAGAAAGTCTGATTTGCCTTCAGATGAGTCTGAAGAAGACGAAGTGAACAGCTTACAAATAGGAATGTGTTGTGCCATTGCCTGCTTTCCTTGCTGGTGGTGCTGCTTTCATTCCCCCTGCCTTTTATTTTTATTTATTCTACGTGTGAGTCACCGCCTGGGATATGTCCTGGTCCCACCCTGCATAACAAGCTAGTTGACTTACATTGCCAGCAACTACACTCACTGCTGTGCTTTGGGATCGGGAAGGGAATCCCCACTAACAGCATATCCCCATAGCACGGCATTAGCAAATTGCTGCACAGAGCTTCTGGGCTTAACCTGGTGCAGCAATGCTCCGGTTTCAGCAGGAAGCCTTGTTCACGCTGCATCTTGGGCAAGATCTACCCTAATTGGTGGATTAGGGAAAAATGTTTGGGTGTGTGGCACTGCTTTGTTGGATAGGTGGGTTATATCTGCAGCTTGTCTGGCTCCCTTGATCTCGCTTCTTCTGTTCCCTGACTGGAGCACAGCCACTGGGGGAGTGCTGGTTTCCAGAGAGGGAGACTGGGTAGACTAGAAGAAGCTGCAGGGAATATTCATGCAATCACAGAATGGTTTGGGTTGGAAGGGACCTTAAAGATCACCCATTTCCAACCCCTCTGCCATGGGCAGGGACACCTCCCACCAGACCAGGTTGCCCAAAGCCCCATCCAGCCTGGCCTTGAACACCTCCAGGGATGGGGCACCCACAGCTTCTCTGGGCAGCCTGTGCCAGGGCCTCACCGCCCTCAGAGTATTTCTTCCTTATATCTAATCTAAGCCCACCATCTTTTAGCTTAAATCCGTTACCCGGTGTTCTGTTACTACACTCCCTGATTGAGTCCTTCCCCATCTTTCCTGCAGGTGTTCTTTAAGTACCAAAAGGCCACGATGAGGTCTCCCTGGAGCCTTCTCTTCTCCAGGCTGAATATTGCCCTAACAGATGTAAAATCTTTACCTTGCCTTGCTTATAGACTGATTTGTTATCTTCCTACCAATGTGCCTGTGATAGCGAATGAATTTTATGTAACGTTTCAGCCCTTGCATTTTCATTTTATGGTAACGTTTCTGCCTCGTTGTCTGACCACATCAAAGTGTTGCTTCATTAGTGTGGGAAGCCCTGTGGTAGTCTGCTGCCACAAAGCTTAGACACAGAATGAAGACACAAATTCCTTATGCATAATGAGTAAACTGCTCAGAGATAGTAAAGCTTTTAGTTCTGTTAGCTCTTTTATAGCAGCAATTTGTGAGCAGTATCCTCAGAATACTACTTCCACTACATTCAGAGTAGGTGAATGAAGTATTGTTTTGTTGTTACTCTAATACCATCAGATGTTTGACTCCATCTCAACATTTACCAGGATTTGAGGAAGGCAGAGATGTTCTCTTGCAGCAGCTAGATGGAGATAATTTTATTCCATTCAATTTGGAATCACTAAAACCTTTTTTTTTCTTCTTTAATTACAGATAGCTGCTGCTTTATGGTGGTATTATGTCTCCAAAGGAATTGAATACTTGGATACAGTATTCTTCATCCTGAGGAAGAAATTTAACCAAATTAGTTTCCTTCATGTCTATCACCATTTCACCATGTTCACTTTGTGGTGGATTGGTATTAAGTGGGTTGCAGGTGGACAAGGTGAGTTCCCTTCCTCCCATACCCTTCTGAGTGGACGTAAGGGACAATTATTATAATTGTTTGGGATCAATGGAAAAAAGTTGTGTTAGACTTAACATTATTATACAGAAGGTTGTTTAAATAGCACTGAAGCAGTGCAGTGGATTTAACGTGTATGATCTTCATCTGTGAGAACTGTGGGGGAGGAAAAAATAGATACCAGGGCCCATAGTCTAATGAATTGCAAAACTTTTTTTTTCCTCATGGGCATCAATTGCAAGCCTGAAGTTCTGTCTTCAAAATTATCCTTGTTCTGTATGAAACAGATGAACGTGTCTTGCTTAACTTTAACTTTTGCAGATACAGAGAACTGCAAAATCTAATTATGGGCAACAATCTGTGTGCAAATGTAATGAAGTTAACGGAGACATTATTTTGGCATTATATCTGAGTTTGGGGTTTGCTTTCTTTTTTTTTGTCTACAAAAGGCATATATAAAACTCTGAAACCTTCCCTTGAAGGTGAGCCAATAAATCTGTCAATTAACTTTTAAAACTTGTTAATGACACCAGTCTCTAATTCATTATCAGTCTATTTTTTCCTGTTTTATTTCTAAGACCAACATCAAAGAACTTTATTCCATTGTTCTTGCTACATCCTCCCTTTCCTGCAGTGTACCTTTTGCCCTGTTTATCTCTCAAAAAAAAAAAAAAAAAAAAAAAAAAAAGGAAAGACCCTGTTCTGTTTGTAATGTGTTTTGTAGGCTTACAGCACTGAAAATAATGGACAGTGAAGAATAATTTTTTTTGTCTAACCACACACTGATACTTAATGTATGTGAGTTTTATGTTCTCAGTTAACATAGATGTCTCATACTAGTAGGTGGCATATTGTTTTCACAGGCAGATCTATCATAAATTAACTAACAGGGTCTACACATAGTTAACCACATGGGAATCAGAGTTGTATGATTTCAGCAGCTAATGTCTGCCTTGTCCTAATGTTATATACGTCACCACCATTTTGATCCTCTCTGTAGTAAAAGGAAAAGCTTAAAAAGATATAGTTTATTCCTGTTAAATGGTTGCTAATCTTGACAGAGCAAAGAGATCTTAATGCGAAGGGAACAAATGCCTTTGCTTCCAGCATCGATCGTTCTGGTAAAAGATATTATACATTGATTTAAGAATGCTGGATATTGTAAGTCATGAATAAAGAAACTAAAGATGAGCTATTTAGACAAACTCATTTTGCAATGCCCTTAAACATCTTACAGCCATAAGTGAAGTATTGCTTTGTATTATTTTCTGGCCTCTTTACTCAGACTGCCACGTGAGTTTCTTGATTTCTTGCTGAGTTGTGAACCTTACACATCTAATTACGGCTTAACAGATTTAAGTTCAGAACCTGAAACTGCTTTATACTTTGTGCTGTCAAATACTCCCTTAGCAAAGGGAGCATCATACTTATACTACAATAAGTAATGTGTAATCCATGTGATTTACGTCTGTTCAACAAAATTTTATGAAAAGCTTTTGCATAAGAAGTTCCATGAAAGTCGTGACACACTAATTGCACAGACAGCTGTTTGTGTCCGTACATGTCAGCTATCAGGTCTATGCTCTACAATTGAATATTTCAAGGATGGAAGCCAGACATGCCCTGTGTGTTATAATGTTTGCTATCACATGAATACTAAAATAGATATTTTTCTTTTCTTTTTTTTCAAAAGTACATGAAAATCTTTCTTTTGTTTCTGGACAGCTTTTTTTGGAGCTCAGATGAATGCATTTATTCATGTCATTATGTACATGTATTACGGATTAGCTGCCTGTGGCCCTAAATTTCAGAAATACCTGTGGTGGAAACGATACTTGACCATATTGCAATTGGTAAGTGAAATTTCTCCATTTATCTCAGAAATTATTATCTCTAAGTAGATTTCTTTCTTCAGAGCTTTGGAACAGATGTTGTCCCTTTCAAAAGTTCTTAGTTGCCTGATGCTCACAGCTCAAGTTAAAATTAGTATATTCTTAAATGTAATTAAGCAGTTAAAATAATTGCCTAATTATACAACCATTGTTGTGGGAAAAGTTCTTAAACTCTTATTACTGCTCAGCGGCATTTGTAAGTTTTAAAAGATTTGTATTTTCACAAAACAATCACTGTTATTTAGTGACATAATAAAAATTATTATTACACTGGAAAAGTGCTAAAGATGACTTCAGCTCAGCTTTAGGCTGGCATTGACTCCATTCCTCCGCACCCACATATGGAAGCAGTCAGTTACCAGGCAGTAATACTACATCTGGCTATCCTATTCTAAATCCTATGAAATTGCCACGGTAGCTTAAAGACAAGCTTGCGATCTGCTTTGTTGTACAGCAGTAACCTGATACAGGAAAATCTAGTTGCAATTGAAAGTGTCTCTGTCTATTTATTTAGTTTTTAGTTTTCAAATGTACTTTAGGGCTAGTAAAACAGAACTGGAGGTAGAAGTATGGAAGTATTGATTTCATGTCTCAGAAACTGCACAGCATGGATAAGAATTTTGTGCATTTACTGATACTGCTTTATGGATTGTTTCAACTGAATTTTAAAAAGTTCAATAGACAGAGAAAATCCAGATCTCTTCGTGCCTTCTCATTTTTCTCATTCTGAGAACTCTTGCCAGATAGTGCAATGAAGTTGATGCTTCTGGTCATGTGTTGGGGGATGCATGGTATGACAGCCCAATATAGTTTCCCCCACCATCCTATTCATCTGTTTTCATAACTTAACCCTGGTATACATCAGTGCAGTCAGACCCACAAAATACATCCAACCCTGTTTTTTGATTGCGTGTTTTCTGTCTTTCAGGTGCAGTTCCATGTGACTATTGGCCACACAGCCTTGTCTATTTATATTGATTGTCCTTTCCCTAAATGGATGCACTGGGGTGTAATTTTCTATGCTGTCACCTTCATTTTCCTGTTTGGTAACTTCTACTATCGGACATATAAGCTGCCCAAGGAACCTGTAAAGAATGGCAAAATAGCAAATGGTGCTGTTGCAAATGGAGTAAGCAAAGCGGAAAATAATCCAGTGGTGGAAAATGGAAAAAAGCAGAAAAAGGGAAAAGCAAAAGGAGAGTAACTCGATCCAGGCCTTAACCGTTGTTGGCAGTGAGGAACCTACTGTTTGGTTTATAAAAGGAAGAAAAAAACACTATCTGTACCAATTAACCTTAGGTTACTGAAGAGCTAGAACACAGATATTTTCATTATTTATGAAGATTGTTTTAAGAACAAAAAGTTGAATTTCTATTGTAATTATGTAATTATCACACACATGGTCTCTGTGTAAACTTGTAGACTGCTGGTGTTGGTGAAAGTAAGGAAGAATTGCAGTTGATTCCATGTTTAGCAGTCCAAAAGTCAAAACAATCATTGACACAACCAGTTTTATTGGCACCCACGTTTCTTTGGGGGAGGGAGGGAGGGACAGAGGAAGTAGCATTTGGATACTTGTGTTTTCTTTCCAGAAAATTATTAAATTTCAAATTATGATGTATTATCTAATCAGAATGCGCAACTTTTCTTGTCTTCCTTGGAAAGCATCTTCAGACACATCATGTTTATGTGCTGTCAGAACAGTGTTTGACTTTTCAGACATTACTTGATTTAATTTAGTGTCTGTTACAGTTTTTCGGTTGTTTTTTTTTTTTTTTTTTTTTTTTCCTTGTGTGGAAATATACCTACCTCTTCATCTGCTGGAAAGAATATTGAGCATTAAATAACTGATTTCTGAAATATGGAGTCCTCTAATATACATATCTGTTAATAAGAATTTAGCAGAAAAAATAATTTCCTGTGGGAGTAAAAGGGACTTTTTTTTTCAGGTATTTTTTGGTCAAATCATCAATATTCTAATTTAATGTAAACTTAAATAAACTTAAATTTTGGAGTGGTATTTTTAGTATGGCTAAGTGAAGATGACATTTTAAGATTTTATAAGTATGAAACAATACGTTGTGTGAAGCAAGCAATTACCGTAGGCCTGTTGCTTGTTGTCTGTGACCTGCATTAAACCTGTAGTGCTGATGCTGAAAATTGTCAGATGACATTATGGTGGGGAGAAAACAACGTGTAATTCTGTTTAGAAGTGCAGTGTGTATGGGTAGTCATACTGACGGGACAGTCACTTTACTGGGGGAGAGAGAATTTAGTAATACAGTATAAAATACAGCAAACAAAATGCTGAAAATGCTGCTACTACTTGATGCCCATCAATACCCTATTTGTTTAGACACTTGCAGGCAAAGTATTGCTAATAGGCCACCATTTTAATGTGAATATCAGAGATGAGCTGCTGAAACTCTAGTCCCAAAATATTCTTGGCTCTTCTCAACCTAATTGACAAAGCAATTCTGCTAATCATTTTTCAGTCATAACTGCTACACAAAGTAGAAGTCTCTTTTAGACAGCTTTTCATCTTACTTGGTACTTTATTGGGCTAACTCCTTTTGTGAAGAAAATATAAAGAGAGTTATATGGAAGGGAAATGTGATCTTACTAAGAGAAGTTTTTTAGTTGCTGAGGATGCAATGAGAAAGATGGGTTGAATTAGAAACCATGTCCTGAGCTCCCAGGGTCCTTGCTCACCACTGTAAGAGCTGTGTTGTTGCTGTGGAAATGCATTCTTCCCAGCTCTGGTCAGAAACATTCACTGCTCGATGTAAGTTCATCCTTAGCAAGTGATACCATTACTGCAGGAAGAATGTACGTGGAGCTCTAGGTATAGATATTGAAGTGTGTGGCACATCTAAGTTTGTGCATCTCAAATACCCATTCACCTGTTGTGACCTGTTTTGCACATTATAAACATCTTTTGTGTCTTGGGTTTGTCTCTTGTCACTGTAATGGAAACTATCTAAACCTGAAAAAGCAGGTTGTAGGGAAAAAGGTTGGTTATGATCTGTTCTACTGGGAAATAATTCCTAATGTTGGAGTTGATTCAACTGCAAGAGTGGTTCGTCGGTAATATCCATGAACGTGGATTTTATGGCAGAATATAAGATTGTTAGAGAATGTCTCTGCTGAACTGTAATGCATGTGACCATTAATTTTCCTATCTGTTGCGTCTCGTGATTCTTCCAGCCTTTGTAATGATGCTTTTTTTTGCATTTGTATAACTCTGTTTGTTTAATGTGGCATGGGGAAGAGGGAACACGGTCTATCCTTCTTTCTTGGACAGATGCCACTGCATTTAACCAAGCCAAAATGTTGGCTGGCTGTGTTACTCTGGAATGGCTAAAGGAGCAAATAACTGCAAAGCAAGTTAGACAGCAGATTTACAGCACACCCGCTACTCCAAGGTAATGTCTGGTGTGGAGATTCCTACCCTTTTGTAAATTCAGGGTAGCTTACCCCACTGTGGTCAAAGGGTAGCTTCTTTCTATTTGCCATGGGATGTGGGCAGCTAACTTGTAAATCTGTGTCATTCCTTGTTTTGTGTTTAAATTGGTTGTTTGCTCTGTCCTTATTGCTGTAAACCAGATTGGATAAACTGATACTCTTAATGTGATCCAGCTCCAAGAGAGCATACCGAGAAGTATTCTAGTACGTGTTCAACTATATCCTTTGCTACACTTTGTAAAGTAAGAATTATATCTTGCATGTTGGCAAATATTTAAAATAATTGGAAGTCAAATCTTCTCTCCCCCTTAGCGTGCATGGAAGCTGCTTAAAGTTGATAAAACTTGAACTTTATTGGCAGAACTCGAATAGAATCCTATCCCCCAAATTCTGGGTCACTTGGTACCTTTTTAAAAAATTAAAAAGAAACATTAAACAATGCATTGTGAGAATGCATGCATAGATACACGTCATGTTGTCTGGACATGTGGAAAAACCCAGCTTGAGATTAGCAGTTTAATGGGGGGAAAAAGAAATCATGTATTCAGTTGCTGCAATGCTGCTCTTTTGAGTCAATCTTCTGCTATATGGCTTTCCTAGGTCTATTTATAATATATTGGATTGTTCATGACTTGAGTCCCATTCTAATCTTGAATATAATGGCCTTACTAAATGTGCATTTTTATAGGCATGGTCAAGAGTGCAATACTTCTGTTTATGACTATGCAGCTTTTTCTTTTTTCAAAATTTGAGGTAATGATGCATATGTGAGATGCTGCCAGATTCATTAAAGTCATCATTTAGTCCAAAGCTCTTCAGAATTTTGCCACAAAAGTAAGAGTGTATGTGTAAAAATGTTTTTGCTGTACACAGAATTGAAATTTAAATTATATAAAAAAAACAACTATTTTTTCAGAGTGATTTTTTTTTTTCTAAATGCTTCAAAATTATTTAAAAGTTCAATCCAATCCATTGGGAACATTTGGGGTTTTGCTGTTGAAAAATAGTTATTTGCTCACAGTTCTGAAGCTCTTGGACCAATCATACAATCATTTGATGCCATATAAGTGATACCATTTCATTTAGCCTCATCTCTAGCTGTGGCAGTTGTTGGAGTCTTTTAGCACTTTGCTCAGTGTAAAATAAATAAATTGAAATTCTGTATATATACACATACATGCCCACATACATCGTATGTGTGTTTTTGTGTATATATACACGCACATATGGGTTCTTAACAGGCTCTTTTAACATGTGAGGTAAATGATATTTCCTTGATGTGAAGTTGGCCGGAGCTAATAGCGTAGTTCCTACAGCTCAGACAGCCGAACGAAGCCACTTTCATTGATCCATAGATTCAGTATCGGTCTTGCACACGTGAATAGTATTTGTCAGTCATTTTAGGCATAGGATGATGGACAAGCCACAGCTACTTCTACCACTGTAGTAATTATTTTGAGGTGTCAGGTGTAGATTCTGAGGGGCTCAACTCAGAGGAGCTGAGGAATGATGCTGTGGTCGAGTAGGGATCATTTGGGGGAAACAGTGTGACTAATCTGCTCAGGTAAGTCTTCAAAGTCATTGCGATCACATACTTTAAGATAACACTTACTTAAAAATAAATAAATAACAGTTTCTCTGTAGGTTCAAAAGCATGGTCTATTGGATTATTTGATCATTACCTACTTCCAGTTCCAGAACAGGACAAAACAATGAAGGCAAAATAAAAATACTGCAAGTTTTTTTTTCAGGTTGACCTTGTTTCTTTAGAGTAAGCATTTGACATTCAGATGCTGGGGAGACAGGTAAGAAAGGAACAAATAGTTATTGTGCTGAAAGACCTCATTCCTAAGTCAACTTCTGAGCACACTTGCTGTCTTTTAAAATAAATAAATAAATAAAAATTTGAGTGAAGTTGTTCATGGTGCATAAAGTTGAGCCTTGCATCATGGTAGCATGGGTTCGGTCATAATGTGTGAAGTATTTAAAATCAGATAAATCAGATCTGTTTCAGATGAAGTTGGAGAGCAGGGTGGTTGGAAAGTATCTGGATGGTGTATTCATCGTGGCAGCACAGATTATGACAATTGGGTACTTGGAGCAAGTCGCTGCTGGGACATCTTGCTGTGTTGTGCTCTGATGAGGTGGCCTCTGCTCATGTAAGCAGTCAGAGCTCCACAGCAGGCAGTGGGGTGGTTGGTTCCAATGTACGTGAGTAGAGGATGTTTAACCCTAAAGAACAGAAAAAATTTTGCTTTCTGCCAACATCCCATGAGGATGAGGGAAATGTGTGGGTCAGGATGCTTCTTTTGCATAAGGTGTTAATGCTTTTGTAAACAACAAAAATAAACATTACTTTTTTCATGCTGTTTTGAGTTTGGTTTTGTGCATCCTGCAAAATGTCCCATCTTTGAATTACTTGCTCGTTTTACACTGTCACTCAGGTTGTGTTGGTGTAGTCTGTCAAGTAGCCCAAAAGCTTGAGACATTTTTCTGGTACATCCTCCTAGTTTCAGGCTTGGAGGACTTCGTAAATTTGGATATTGCCCCAAAATCAATCTAGTGGCTTTGAAGTACCCTTGCAGGACTAACTGTATATAAGATGCCTGATTACCCTACAAGCCTCCTGGAATATATTCTGGCTGTAGAGTGCATATATCTGCATCAGCTTTGGTCTGTATGCCATCTCCAGCCTGGGAGGTTATGGTTGGAATGGACCTCGACAGCTCTCCTAGCACAACACGTCGCTGGGGCTCCTGCCTTGGGTCTGCAGGAGAGGAGGGAGGGAAGGGGCAGCAAAGTGCAAGGTGGGTGTAATGCCTGAGTATGGTGGTTCTGGCTGTGGGACCTCAGGCAGTCTTCCATCTCCTGTTTGAAGAAGGTGATGGTAAGTGAAGCTGCATTCTGCATTTAAGGCCACTGATTTTGTTGGTCTTGGAAGTATTGACCCATATGGACGCAACAGAAAGCCAGGTGGTTTAGCTTTTGCTGGACACCGCATTGTGTTAACGCCATCTCTCTTCTCATCCCAGGGAATCTCAAGAGCTTCTGACTGGGGGTGGAATTGACAATTACATGTTGCTGTGTGTGATATGTTCCTTCACAGCCAGTCCATAAACTATCACCTCTCTAATCAAGCTCATAGCGAGTTGCACCCACGTCACGCTCCTGGCACCCAAGTGCAACCAGACGCTGCACGTCAGGTAGTAGAGGAGCAAGTCTGCCATCATAGCAAGATGTGGTGTGGTCAATTATTCCTTACATCATTTGCAACTCTTGCTTCAATTCCGTGCTGGCATCCTCCCAGCAAATGTACAAAACGTACAGAGCAGGGCTTGCTCATCAGATGATTAACGTGCTGGCGGTGGGCACTCTGCCCAGGCATCTTTTCCATGATACTTGTTCCATACCAGTAATTGAAAATAAGCCTGTGTGATTAAGTTAGATTCATCAGGTGATTCAATAGGATAGACTAGACCTTTCGTTTTTCATGTTGGGCTTTCTTTACTGTGTCACTTGCTTCTTCCAGGAAATTTGGGTTTAGGGGAAGGGCTTTATGGCTTGCTTGCTCAGCTCCAGTTGCTGGCGCCATCACAACAGACGCTGGGTGAGCACATACTGGAGATTTAAATGCCAGTGAGGTACTTACTCCAAGGCAGGACTTTCTCTCTTTCCACATCTTTTTAGGCTTCAGATTTCAAGTAGCCTAGCAAACACACACACACTCCTCTGGTACTTGCCTGGTGTGATGTCCCATTTTACTTGATGACCAAGTTGTTACTGGTGGGTATGATCACGGCTGCTTTGACTGCTGCAGTACCTGCTGTGCAGAGCCTGGTGACCTCTTGGTTTTAAAACACAGCCACCAATTACTGATGGATAGAGAGGATATTTGAGGTAAGAAGCTATTTACCTTTCAATATAAGCTGGTATGGATTCACTGCTGCCTGCCAAATCCCTGTCAGATAGGGTTCAGTCTGCTAAATGAGAAGAAATCTTTGGTTCTTTAAGTGATTCAAAGATAAATGCTGCCTGTCCTTACCTTCAGATTGAGAACTGCTATGTCTGTGATGGTATCCTCATACATTTGTTTCATCAGCAAACTGCATTTATGCTGGTATCCTTTGGAGTGTATTTGTAAGAGAAAACTTGACGAACACAAGAACTAACTTGGGACAAAGGCTAGGGGATGTGGAGTGGTGGCTCCTCTCATTTTTTGACCTTGCCTCTAGGTACTGCAGGAGTATGATGACTTCTGTGCAGCTCTTACTGCTACGTATTTATTATTTATGGATGCTGTAACAGTATGCAAGTAGTGTACTTGTTCATAAGTACATCCTGAAGTACTTTAAAAAAATGCTTTCTCTCTTAAATTACAATAAAAACATAAAAATAAAAATAGGGGACCCTTCAATCTTTAACCACAAATGCATGTGTTGGAAGTCATAAATAATAAATATTACTCTGGATTCTCTGATCAATAGTATTTTCAGAGCTTCTGAAGATATTAAAACAGCACAAAGCTCTAAGAAGTTGAAAATTGCAGTGTAACTGCTAACAAACAGTATTGCAGAGCTCCTGTTATGGCTTGCTTGCTTTTCTGTAAATGTCCTGAGTTATTTCAAAGTGGGGTGTACTTCACAGCAAGATCTTGTGATAGTTGCAAGTGAGTAAAATGTTACCATAGGTTTCAGGGTGTTGTATAGCCAAGGGTTTCAAGTCCACAGCCTCACTTCATGCACCACCTCCATTACTTGGGCGAGGGGAGCAGCACCTGGGTCCATCCAGCCCACTAGGAAGCCTGGTTTCTGCACATTTGGCAGAAGGGACAGCAGGAGTCCTTGGGCCAAAGAGGAAATTTTGGCAGTTCTGCCTTCTCTCGAGATGCCAACTTTGTGTGTTTGAATATTTTCCACTAGCAACTTAAGATAGTTTGAAGGAAATGCAGATCTGGATTCAGTACTTGTAGAGTAGAGTGTTGTGGTTTTGTGTTTGGTTTGGTTTGTGTTTGTTTTTTGTTTTTGTTTTTTTTTTTCAGGTCTTGGTTGCTTACATAAACCAAGAGCATTGGAAATACTCCAGTGAAACAGGAAAAAAAAAAAAAAAATCCTCTTTTTGGATTTCTTCAGAAAGCGAGGCTTTATGTAGCAGGTAGTTGCTGTACTGAAAACTTCCCTTTCCCCCCCTTAGCCATCTCAAACCACTGTGCCTGCCTCTGTGCTGCTGCTACAGGACTTTCCCACTGAATGAAGAATGCTGCATGTATTCAGGAAATAATTTCCTGCTGTGAGGTGTCACTGGGGCATTTGAATTGATTTATCTTACAGTCTGACATGCCTAATGGCAGCCTAATAACTCTTAGCAGGCTCAGCAGTGGCAGCACTTCACATATAATGCTCTGAAAGCATCACTGCGAAACTGGATGTTCTGGTTACAGCAAGATGTAGAAGTTGGTTTCAGTATGCTGAAAGGATTGGCTCTCGTTAAATTTTTCCTCCAGCTTAATAATAAAAACACAAGGAGAAACTCCAGTTTTGTATTTTATCATACAATGTGTGCTGTGGGCACCCCTAACCAGAGCTTGTGGCGGTGAGAGAGGGAGAATGTACTACCTTACAAAATCACTTTGTCAGGTTTTATACCGAGCTACTCTATTCTGTGACCAGAGTTTAATAAATAAGTAAATTATATATATATATATATAATTTTTTAAAAAGAAGATTTATGTAAAAATCTGTCTTTTTTTTTTTTTAGTATTTCAAATTCAGGTAACAGGTACAAATATTTTCTTGCACAAGCAACAGTTTTTCTCTAGGCAAATTTTCACTTGGTTCAGTGAGAATTTTCACTAGCTAAGGACATTCCCTGGTGTTACAGAGTCCTTAACAGTTCACTCACTGTGAAGACCTCACTTTGCACTAAGAAATTCAGAGAATGGTAGAAAAATGAGAGCTGAAAGGTTTTATTTTTTTCTATACAGGTATACATACATATATTTAAAGACTTTGCAATAATGCTGTAATCACTTCAGTAAGACCCCAGGACACGTGCTGGCAGTGTATTCTGAAATTGTGCAGTGTTGGCTGTGGCAGATTCCTTACTGAGGAAAAGCCTGCTTTGTGCCGCAATGACTGCAAAGATTTTTTTTTTTTTCTCACTTTTTACCATTTTATTAAGTATGTTTTTGGTAAGGTCTCAGATAGGAGATTGTATGTGCATGACCTGTAGCTCAGATTCTCTTCAGTGGCTTTGGCTGCACCAGACCTGCAGAATACAACTGTGGTTCAGCAAGGAGAAGCAGTTGGCATAAATCATCTGTCTCATAGGTCTGCGACTCTTCTGGATCTGGAAGGCGTTGTCTAAAGCCCATTGAGTACTGGAGAGGTCTTGATGTACGAAAACCCTTGTACTGTCAGTAATATTTAGACAACAGTTTGAATGCTAAATGTTGCTGGCCTATATTTTTTATATTTAGGCTCACATTACCTTGCAACGGCAGGGTTCAGATAATTTTTAGCATTTCAGACAATTTCTCATCCTCTCAACACCTCAAGTCCTTGGCTTTTTGAGCCTGTGGTCTGTCCATCAGCTACCAGGGAGCAGCACTGGGATCTTGACTATTCATTGCAAATATCAACATCATTGCTCAATATGCATTAAATGAGAAGAATTTGTTTACTTGCTTGTAAGGTGTTCTGTCTGTTATTTTAGCAGCTGCCTGGGGCCTATGTAGATATTTTAATCTGGAGAAAATATTTCTTCTATTTTCTTCACATCATATCTTGATGCATACTATCCGTGGAGGGCAGGAACATGTGCTGAGTTATGAACAGATGCACAAAGCAAGGATGCTGAAAATAATGTATTGGTTTGGCCTGGCAGATGCCTTAGGGCTCTGATCTCAATTTAAATTTTGGTGTAGTAATACTGGCAGCACAGCACCTTGAGGCAATGGGATTCTTATTTTGTTTGTTTGTTAGGAGCACAGAGTGTTGTACAGTGTGTTCCCTGCTGAGCAAAGCTCCATTTGTAAGCAGAGTGCTCGACACAAAAGTTACCTGGCAAAATTTATGCCCTGATAAGCAGTGTGCTCTGGATCTGAATTCAGGATAAAACGCAGCTCTTTTCTTTAGCGAAAAATCTTGATTTAGAAGTGATAATAATTAAAAGCAAAATATCGTTACACTCAGCACAACTGTGTCATTTCTTTCTTCAGTATTGAGTAATAAGGTCAATCCATGAATTGTGCTGACTGAGCTTGGTACTTACTGTTTTCTTTGTGCCCTCTGCTATTTTAGTGGCAGAAGTGGCCAAATTAAAAAAAATCCCTTTATTATTGCTTACTAATATTCTTTATTCTAAGAAAAACA